TGTGTTAGATTAATCTTAAGTTAATTTTAAATGTGAACTAATTAAAAATAGTGGAATATAATAATATGGTCAACTTTGTGAAGGTGGTAATACTACTTCTACTGAGCACTTGTATGTGCCCAGGCACCGTTCGAAGCACTCTACATGTTTTTGAACATATAGTTTCTAACGGAAGAGCGATTCTATCCCCAGTTTTTAGTAAAAGGATACTGAGGTTCAGAGAGGTTCAGTAACTTGCCCTAGGCCACACAGCTAGTAAGAGTTCAGTTCTTGAGGTTGTTTCCTAAACATTGACTGAGCAAGCAGAGAAGGGTTCTGGCCAGAGGCCTCCTTGTGCCCTCATTGCTGTACAGATGAGAGTTCACTCAGTGGTGGAGAACTCAGTATGAATAGGGTTGAGAGGAATTGTCATTTAATCCTGCTCCCTCCTATTTCCACTGAAACGGAACTATTGCCAAATTTGACAAAGTGACCTATGCCCCTGGTCCGAGTCCTCCCAGCTGGATGTCCACAGTAGCTGCAAGGAGCTAAAGTCTCTTTGGAGAAATGAAATATTCAGGATTGGTATTAAATCTGTGACAAAGTACACCCTTCTCTAAGTCAGCTACTGAAACCAACCAACAAACAAAATAGGTCTGTGGAACAACGATGTTAAATGAAAATAAAAGCGGTTTTATTGTTTCATGCTAAAACACAGATCGGGCTTTACAAGCTTACAGGTATTTTTGGCAAAGGGGACTTGGGTAATCTCTCTTCTTTCGAATGGTTGAGCATCACCATGAAGACCAGATGTTACTTTGCACACAGGATTTTGGGGCTGTTCTCTCGGCCAATGGGGAAGGTTCCAGCCGACCTCTCCCTCGGGGCCATCTCCCTGTGCGCCTCCACTTCTGATTGGTTGTTGCAGTGAAGGGCAAACTTGGCACTTCATGAGAACTACAAACCCAAACCAGTAACACACTGGGCTCTGAAAGCCTTTAGTCTACCCCGGAAACACAGCGTACAAAGCAAAAAATTAATATGTAGAGAGCTGTATGAAAACGGATGGTGGGAAACTGTTCTGCAGGGAGGTGGCTCAATGCGATGACTTTTGATTTCCTAGAAGGGAAGTCTGTGGAAAAAGAACTTCACAAAAATATGTGCTTCCTTCTCAGGAAAAAGGTTTATCAGACACCAAATACTTAAGTCAGAGACAACTCTGATGGGACCCATCCCGCTTGCTCAGCCTTCCCCAAAGCGTTCAGTGGTACCGGTCTGAGAGTTACCCAACATCGAAGGCCCGTTCTGTTTTTCTTCTCACTAGAAAATTCCTTATGGTTTATCAAGATGCAACGAGTGGAACAGATTCTGCTAACTACATTAGGATCAACAATACCAACATACATGCAACAGATATTTCAAAGTAATCCATACACATCATTATAAATTACAAAGCCAGAAACACAAACAAACAAAACACAAAACCCTTCAACCCTTTTGATTTTACAGTGGAATATACGAAGGAAATAAGTTGCTGGCCTGGAACTCTAGTCATATGAAACAAAGATATGAAAGGCTTGGAAGTTCTTAAAGATCCATTGCCCGATGTAATCCTTTTTTTAATAGGTTTATATATTTTATATCTATACACTAGTCCATAATGACTTACACATATATTTTTCTCCATTGTTCACATACATATGAACTCTTTTTGGTCTATTGAAAACACCGAATGTACCAATACAAGGAGAGTCACAAGTGTTTATAGCTTTTCAGCTTCTCCTTCCGTGAGGAATGCATTCTCCTCCCCTACTATCTTCTCCTGCCTTTCTTGTCCCTTAAACAGTACCCTTTCCTTCCAGACCCAACAGGTAGAAGCAACAACTTCCATAGGTGAAGCACCACCCATCACAGTAAGCAGCCTACTGTGGGGTACACTTCTGGGCTAGTCTCTTCCAATCACTCGAATTCCTCCCAGCCATCTCCTGCTCTTTACCTTAACCTGCTTGACATTTTTTGATCCATGACCACTTGGATTCTCTGTGCCGGAACTGGCAGGTGAGAGAGAGAGAGAGAGAGAGACAGACAGACAGACAGACAGACAGACAGACAGACTTTGGGAAATATGGTGCTTTTACTAAGCTGCTGGGCTTGATAACTCTCATTTGGTTGGTTTATTGCCTAAGCAGATTCAAAGGAAGGGGAAATAAATCACCATGAACCCTCCACGACAAGCCATGGAAAGTTTCCAGGGACTTACAGAATGGTGGCTTCTTGTTGCTCTGATCATGAGAAGGGGAAGTCAATGTAAAAAGAGGGAAGCGTTGAGAGGGAGGGTCTTGGAGATAGCAGTGTGACCCAATGGTTTCTGGTGACTAAAAGTTGATGTTATTTCCGGCCTCGTTTATACGATTTGCCTTTGTATGAGCAGCTTGTCTATACTTCACCTACTTCACCGTCTATAGAAGTCCGACTCCCTCCAACGTGAGCATTCTATGACTGACTCCACCCCAGAAAATGAAATCTTGACAACCTGCTTATAGGTGGGCTGGAAGGCCTTATGGTAGAAAGAGGTTGCGTCCAGTACATGAAGGAAGCATCTCTCTACTCACTGCTGCTGTGGCTAACCAGAGCCAGCCCCACTCGTCAGAGGAAACAGAGCCAACACCTCGTCAGAGTAGTCTAGAGTAGAGGGATGCCTGACGGTTGGCAGCACCCCCCCCTGGCCACGTGTGCAAAGCGATGGCAACATCAAGTCAGCCTTTTTTTGTGGGAGAACCATGCTGCTTGCTGCCTTTTCCACCCCTTGGCACAGGAAGCCCATACTCGGGGGTTTCTTGCTGCTTATCACCACCTTCCCTGGTGGCTAACCAAGAGAAGAGTGTGGTTAAGAAGTCAAGGTGATTCAGCCCATGAAAGGATGGGTGCCAGTTTGAGTCCTGCATATGACAGGTTCCCTAGAGAAGAAAGCAGCATTGTAACCACAGAATGCAACCCTTGCTACGTTCCAGGGCTTGGCACATGTCTTTCTCTGTTACCAACTGGATTGGATGAAAGGCGGAAGAGGTTTTGGGGCACAATTATGACCCTGAATATTAAAACCACCCACATGTCTGTGGAAGCGGCATTCCTGGCACAGTGCTTGATAATCAGGGTAGCCTGTGCTTTGGAAAATGAAATCCGCACTGATGTCTTAAGTTAGGGAAGAAAATGATAATGTAGGGCTCAGAAAGTTTTGGGGTATTTGTGAATTTCACTTATCTGTGCAATGTTTTTTTCAGGATGGCACGGATAATAATCAAAATTGTAATGTAGATGATGGGTTTATAGATATTCAGTATCTTCTAACAGCATGCTTTTTTAGATGACTTATTTCTGAACAAAACAGGCTTCGCTGTTAGACCTGCTTTTTATTTCTCTAGGTTTGAAACAGCCTCTCTGTAAGGGTTGTAGTCTGTGGTTTCTTTCCTATAACATCAGAGATGCTTCTTGTCCGAGATTCTTTAGGTACCAAGTCCTATTTCCTGGGTCAGTGTTTTCTAAGCACAGGAACCTCCTGGATCAGAAGGTGTCAGGGGAAGCAGAGGATCGAACTAGAATGGAAACACCTAAGCAGGTGGTGGGGGGATGTCAGATGTTAGGTAAGGGGCTAGGGTTGGGGGGAAGGTAAGGGGAGATCAGGAAGAAGCACTGGCCTCTCCAGCTAGACCATGAGAGAAGATTATTATGCTATTTCCTGCACTGCACTAAGTCTGAGCAGGAGAGCCAACCCAGACATAGAGCTGGAGGGCACTTGATGTCCAGTGTAGGTACCAAGAGAAATTAGCAAGATAAAGTCTGGCCTTGACAACAGAAATGAACTACAGGAGGGATGGGAATCTGGTTTAACTTGTGACAGCACACCACAGGAGTCTCACTTGCTTTTCTCTACCTTGGCTCATTCATGCTGTGGGTGAAGGCAGGCAGACTCTCTGCTCTTATTACCATCTTATGTTGGAGGCCAGCCAGTTGGTGTTCCCGAAGCATCCCTGATGTCCAGGGACCATCACATGGTCCACGAATTCTCCATTGAACAGTTTCCATCTAAACAGGTATCTCTTGTCTCTCGGATCCCAGTTGTTGCTAGCTCCTCCTAGGAAGATCACCAAGGCGGGGTCTGTGAAGGTGAAAAAGATTTCAGAATCTATCCTGTATGAATGCAACCTGGGAAGAACTGCAGTTCTTTGAAAATGGCCAGCCTCGCGGGCAGGACTACCCCACAAGGGATGCTGCGTCCTGTGTTCATCATATTAGGAGGCACGTCATACCCACGTCCCCCTTACTGGTGATGCTAATTTAGCGCACTTGGTGGAAGTTGTTCTCCACTGTAGAGTTACTATTTTTCTCTTTGCAATGAATAAGTACCTTGTGGGGAGATATTCTAAGATGCTTCAAGCTTTCACCTAGTAGTTTTCACGATTTATTCTTCCTTGAACCAATTATGATGCCAAATGGCATTTTCGAATTCCGTAATTCCTTCTACCTTTAGTCCTTGGAATATTACTGTAAAGAAGAGCTTTTCTTTCGCTTCAACTTATTTATTTACATCAGCACAAACTCAGGGATGCTGTGTTAGGCCAGGTTGACTAGAGAAACAAATTCAGTGAAACTCATATATGTGTAAGAAAGAGCTTTATACCAAGAAGCTTTATATATCAGGAAAACATCCCAGCCCAGTCCAACTCAAGTCCCTAAGTCCAATACTAGTCTATAAGGCCCTATTCAGACTCATGAAGTCACATGCAATAATGCAGGATGCGGGAAGCTCACAGGCCGGTGGATGCAATGCGGTGTGGATCCAATGGCAGTGGCTCTGGTGGGTTTCAGAGTGACTCACCAGCAGGAAGATGAAGACGGAGATTGAGGGGGAGGTTCCCAGGAGCCTCTTTACAAGAAGGCCACACCCATAAGCAGGCACCATCTGGCTGTGACCTGATTGACAGGCTAGACTCCACCCCCTATACGTTTATATCTCTCAGGTTGACATGAAATTCTGTAATTACCAGAGATGCTATAGGTTATCATCCACTACTTCCCAAAATGAATAATCTTAATCTAACGACAAAAAATACCAGACAAGTTTCTGTTGAGATTTATTACGGCCTGTGCTGTTTAAAATGGCAAGATTATGAAAAAGAATCTTGAAACTAAAGGGATATGACAATGTGGTCCTGTCCTGGCTTGGATCCTAGATTAAAACTTTTATTTTTCCTCTGAAGGGCAGTCATGTGGCAAATGGAAAACTTTGAATAAGGTCTGTAGACTAGTTAGGTAGCTGCTGTTGTTAGGTGCTGTTGAGGTGGTGCCCATTCAAGAGACCCTGTGTACAACAGAACAAAAATTGTCCAGTCCCGAGTCACCCCACAACTGTTCTTATGCTTGAGTCCGGTGCGGCCACCACTGTGTCTCTCCATCTTGTCAAGGGTCTTCCTCTTTTTCAATGCTCCTCTACTTTCCCAAGCAAGATGTCCTTCTCCAGCGACTGGTCTCTCCTGACATGTCCAAAAATGGTGAGGAAGTCTCGCCATTTTTGTCTCTAAGGAGCATGTTGGCTGTACTTCTTCCAAGACAGGTTTGGTTGTTCTTTTGGCAGTCCCTGGTACTTTCAATATTCTTCAATGGCACTATAATTCAAATGCATTGATTCTTCCTTGTTTTCCCCTATCAAAATGGGTCTGGCACAGATTAGTCCTCAAAGTAACTTGATTTTCAACATTTCAAGAGAGATTTTGTGCAGCAGATTTACCCGATGCAAAGTATCATTTGACCTCTTGACTGCTGCATCCATGAACATTGGTTGTGGATTTAAGCAAGATGAAATCCTTGACAGCGTCAGGCTTTTCTCTGTTTATCATGATGTTATCTATTAGTCCACTTATGCAGAGTGTGGTTTTCTTAGCTTATAGGATTAGAAAAATCCAAAACAAAGTCATTGAGTCACTTTCAATTTATAGAGACCCTCTAGGACGGAGTAGAACTATTTCCAAAGAGGCAAAACTCTCCTGATTTTGGGAACGGCCCTGTAGTTGTCAAAGTGTATATCTTCATTTTTGGGAAATAACACTGAAATATTTAGGAATGAGGGAGCATTTGATATTCAACTTAGCCTCAAATGGTTCATAAAAATGATATATTTTTGTATTTGATTATTTCTATACTACAAATTGTGATAATATAGTGATTACATATGATATTAATAAAATAAAATTACATATTTATGTAACAAGACAGAAAGGATCAAAACAAATAGTGAAACATTAATACTTGAGACATCTAGCTTAAGGGCACATAGAGATTTTAGTACACTTTTTGCAACTATTCTGTAAGTCTAAAAAGATGTCCTATATTAAAAAGTTAAAATCTGAGAGCTCCCTGAATTCCTTTGAGGTCCCAAGTGTTTTTATTTTGATGGCCAAACTCATTCTGCATCATTTTCACCAACACATATATAACCAACATTCTTCCCTCTTTATCCAACCTGTAACAGTTGTCCCTTCCTTGAGCCCCCAAATGCTCTAATGTAAAGTACAACCAAACACTCTGGCTGTCTCCAGTCCAGTCGAGGGCAGGTGGTTTGAGTGATTAAAACAAGAACCAGTTATGGCTTTGTTGCCTGCGCTTGGCTCTCGGCCCTTTTAAGTACCAATAACATCCAAACCAACCATGCTGAAGGAGGAGAGAAGAAAGCCAAAGACAAACCAACCATGCTGCAGGAGGAGAGAAGAAAGCCAAAGAGATGCTGAGAAGGGGGTTCAGAAAAAAATGTGAAAGACTTGCCTTTTCAAAGGCCCAGCTTCAGAGCTTGTTCAAAAACACGTTTCCATGTTTCCATGAAAATCTAATCAAACTGAAATCAGCAGGAGAGGGGGGTTTCCATCTCTTGTTTGTTTTTTTCAGTTAGAGCTTATCTCTTTTCCACCTAGGGATTCAGGCTGACTTAACAGGCAGGTTTCCTATTTGGAGAAAATTCGAGGATGATCACAGACTCCTCCTTTGGGATGGGTAGGGAGTGGAATGGGATAGTCGGAGCTTGTAGCTGGTTTGTGGAAGACACCCAATTTTGGGAGTCCTACGCAAACCCCCAGGAGCCCTGATGGTGTAGTGGGTTACATGTTGGGCTGGTAACCGCAAGGTCAGCAGTGTGGATCCACTAGATTCTCCAAGGGAGAATGCTTAGACAGTCTGCTCCTGTAGAGATTGCCAACCTCGGAAACTTTAAGGAGTAGTTTTCCTGTTTTATGCAGTCCACATGAGTCCGAATTGGCTCAATGGTAATGGGTGGGTGGAACTCTGATACGTGTATATGCTAAGGTAGTAGCCCTAGCTTGCAACCCATCAGGCAACCACATTTAGGCAACCACGCCTGGGCTCTTTGGACCTACAAATGCAATTCAGTAGATGTGTTCCTTGGCACAGGAATATGAGCTATTGGGCTTCCAAGTCGCTGCTGTACATCCAGCAGGAGCAGGCATGAATTCAACGTCTGTGACTTCTAACATGTATCTACTAACATGCATTCACCACTTGAATAAGAAACCCAAGATTTGAAGTTATGTCGTCTTTGATGTTATGCAGGCCTTTCATCTCTCTATGCACAATTTTTAGCCTTTGACGGAGAAAATGCCCATTTTAGGCATATGCTGCCTCTCTTCACTGTGCCTAGGTTGGGGCTAGTGCCGATGCTGGGTCTGCACCTTGGAGAGGGGTCAACATGTTCATATTCCAGTGGGCCAGAGGTGGCCCACTGATTAGATAGGTAGATTGAGACGGGCATCAGCAGCTGGGAGAATGTCCCTTTGAGACGGGAGGCAAGGCTATTTGAGATTACTTCACATAGATCCCAAGGGAGTGATTGGTTGTTCTTTTACCTACATTTTCTGTGATGTGGCATTTCTGAGAGTGAGTGCAGGGGCATGGAAGTAATAAGGAAAAAACTGTCAAGGAAAGACTGGCTGCCACATTAATCTGACCTTCTACATTGTGCTAAATGATGTAGAAAGAACTTTAACTCTAAGATCCACTGACATTTTAATAGGCACCCCAAAATCCCATCACAGGTAGGAGGTGTGAATTTCCTGTGAATGGCATTGTGCAGCTCTGGGTAACAGCACTTATTAGTGCCACGTGTCCAGTCCAGGGGTTTTAGGATTAGGCAAGTAGTCATTCTTTGTTTACTGAGCTCTCGGAAGGTAAGTCTATTTGAAGTAGGAAAGCTTGATGTCTGTGGGACGACTTTTGCATCCCATTTTAAATGAGGTTGCAAGTGGTTAGCATAAGCTGGAGCCAGGCTGCCTGGGTTTATTTCCAAGCTGAGGAGTCCTGGTAGAGTAGTGAGTATGTATTGGGCTGCAATCCACATGGTCGGCAGTTCAAAACCAGCAGCAGCTTCTTGGGAGAAAGACTGGGCTTTCTACTCCTGTAAACAGTTGCAGTCTTGAAAATCCACAGGGGGTAACTATGAGTCAGCATGAACTCGATGGCAGTGAGTTTGAGTTATTTCCAAGTTCCACCAATTTCTGGCTGTGTGCCCCGGGGGATAGTTTAAACCAGTGAACTGTGAGAGTCAGTCTCTGTCAGCGACGAGAGGCCTGGAAGACATATAAGGTCTTAATGACCTCTCCTGAATTATGTTACCTAATCCCTTCCACTGGTCATGTGTGGATGATTCATTCCCACCTCACCCCACCTGATCTGTTCCATCAGTTATGTGAAGGACAGCTAGAGATTCAGATGACCCATTCCAAATTGCCTGACATTATTTGCTCCAGATAACCTATTGGCTAACACTACTTGAAAGGACAGCAAGGTGACTGCCATATATGGTATTGAGGTGCAGAAACTGAGGATCATGAGACCATCAGGCTGGAATAGGACCAATTGAGATGCAAGAATATGGACCAATGGGAAAGCAGGGTAGGGAGGTGTGGTGAGCCAACGGGGTACTGCTACCTGACCACTACAAAATCCAGTACCACACTCTTAGACACTGTCAGCTTCTGCAAATCATGAGGCGACCTGCTTCGTGACTGAAGTATACTTTGCTTATTAAATCTTTGCTGCACTTATTTTCTTGTCTTAACATCTTGATTGTGTGTCTGTCTCTGCTGTGGTGGCAAC